CTCTCTTTATATTATATATTTTATATATATATCAATGAAACATGAATGTTTCCTCTTCATGAATTTCTTAAAACGCGTGCATATTGGAACTCTCTTTTTCACCCCCAAACCAATAACATAACTGCTAACCAATACGTAAAAAAAAAGTATTACGTCCTTGGGTCGGAGTAGGCATCGTAAACACGTATTTGTGCCTGTAAATACGTTTCTCTGTTGTCTACTATAGATATATTGCTCCTCACTGAGTTGCCGATGCGATGGTAAGCTGATGACCTCTCATGGCTGAATGTCCGAATAATAGTGAGTGGTTGATGGGTGCACTAGTGTGGTTTGCTCCTTCTGTCCTATTCTATCACGACTGTTGCGAGGGCCGTAAACTCTTACTAAACTTTAAAGAAGGCTATTGTTAATCAATTGGAGAGTCCTTTACCAAACTATTCTTATTCTGCCATTGTTGTTGCAGGTCTGCTTGGAATAGATAAAATTTGTTGCATGTGTAAAAGTGTGTGTGGAGGGCTTGGAGGGGGCGGGGTCCCTGCCCAATGCCCACCATCTTGACCCTCTGTATGCATCGTAGAGTCTGGTTTTTTTTGGGAGGGGGTTTGAAAAGTTGGCAGCTATGCATTTATGCAGATCCAATAAAGTTGGTGGAATGGCGCAGGCTTAACGCCCCTATTAACACTATTAGGTTATTTAAGAGGTGGGACCTCCGAGTTTAACGTCCATCTCCGAAAGGACCCTGTCAAGTGGGAAATCCGTGAAAAGTGCCTTTCTTCCCCAAGCTGTCAACGTCGGACCGAACTGAGGCTCGAACCCGCAATCTCAAGATTACTAGCCCAATTATCAATTATTGAATAGTCTATCCGTTAGGCTACCAACGCCACTCCGATGGCATTAATCATGAGAGTTTTCCCTTCTAATGCGAAGCGGGGTACAACAGGGTTATAATACTGTGAGAGTTCACTTTGTGTCTTCTCTCTGCACACGCCTCCTCACTCCCTTTGCCCGCTCCTCTGGGCTCTTGATTGTTTCTGCAACTTTTCTACAGCTATTCATTGGCTCGTTTTTACTTCTGTCTTTCAGGCACACCCCTGATTTTAGGGTAAGAGGATTTAACTCCTAGCACTCTCGATCAGGGTGAATGATCTTGGAGGTTCCATGTGCGAGTTACCCAGTTTACGTACCTCTTGGTGGTCCTAAAATCAAAAATCAAAATTTATTCCTTACAAACTAAAAAATGTGTCCCTTGTGCTCAAATGACGTTTTGCATTTGAAAGCACTGTGAAGCATTCATCAAAACAAAACTCAGATCCGGCTACATGTAATTGGAAGAGTGTGTACCCCTTTAATGCGAGGCTGCTGGGAGCAACGGGGTTATCTATGATATTGTTGTGAATGTTTTCTTTATGTCCTCTCTCAGCTGTGTGGCGCGGGGTCAGTGACCGAGCTGGCGAGACATCTTCTCAACCAGGAACAGCGGATGGAACCTGATCTCATCGCTCACATCATGAAGGAAACGCTCAAAGTGGGTGGTTTCTCCGTTTGTTTTGTTTTTTGTTTTAGTAGAGGGTTTTACGGCGCTCGCAACTGCATAGGTCATATGAGCGCGCGGGACACACCTAATATTTTCTGTTGGTAGGAAATTTTGAATTTTGCCCGGGTGGCGGCCGAAGCCTACTCTTATCGATTTTAGACCACCAAGGGATCTTTAACGTGCGCAACTTGCAC